AGAAAGAAGAAGAAGAAGAAGAAGAAGAAGAAGAAGAAGAAGAAGAAGAAAGCAAAGTAGAAGACGACGATGAATAAGGAAGATAAAGAAGAAAGAGGAGGTGGAGGCAAAGAAGAAGAAGAAAGCAAAGTAAAAGAAGACGATGAAGAAGAAGTAGAAGAAAGTAAAGAAGATGAAGAAGAAGAAGAAGAAAGCAAAGTAGAAGACGACGATGAATAAGAAAGAAAAAGAAGAAGAAGAAGAAGAAGAAGAAGAAGAAGAAAGCAAAGTAGAAGACGATGATGAAGAAGAAGAATAGGAAGAAGGAAAAAAGAAGAAGAAGATAAAAAAGAAGAAAATGTAGCCGGAAAAAGTAGAAGAGAAAGAAGACGACAACAACGAGGAAGAAGAAGTCGAAGACGAAAAAGAAGACTAAAAAGATGAAGAAGTAAAATATGAAGAAGAAGGAAAAGAAAAACGAAGATGACGATAACGAAAAAGAAGAAGAAGAAAAACAAAAAAAGAAGAGAGAAAGATTGCCAAAGAATAATAGATATCAACCAGAAAACAGAAAAGACAAAAAATAAAAAAAGAAGAAAAACGCAGATCGAAGAAAAAAATACAAATCGCTTAAAAATAATATATATATATATATATATATATATATATATATATATATATAATCCTTTTGTTGTATGAGAATAATAGCAAATCATAGAGCAATAGAATTAAGAAAAAAAAAAAGAAAACAAGGTTATATATATATATAATTAAGAAAAAATTCAAATAAAAAACGTATATTTGAAGAAATCAGTCCGAAGATGCAGTGTAAACCAACTGCGAAACAAATTTAAGTTTATAGCTGGAAAATTCAAATGTAAGGTTTTTCTTTGAAATTGTTCTTATATATATAATTGTCTAGAATAAAAATACGAGAGGGAGTAAAAAAAGACCAAAACTGTGTTTGTCTGCGTGTGACCATGCATGTGTATGTGAGTGTGTGTGTGAGAGAGAAACAGAGGAAGGTGGAGGGAGTTGAGTAGTGCAAAGGTCAATAACCCAAGATAAGTGTTATTCATAGATTTAGACATGACATTATTCTTTTGCCTGCCTCGTCGCTGAAATAGTTACCTATTTCCAAATGACATCAAAGGTCAGTGGTTAAGTGAAGTTAAAAAAACAAAAACAAACAGGAATACAATTGCTGGTTTTTAAGGAACAAGCTTTTGCTACTCGGAAAAACTGGCGTTACACATTCTTAGCGTTCATATTTAGATTGATCATCCGACAGAGCAAACTAACTTTAATGAATATATAGATTGGGACAGATACGCAACTATTATATAACTGATAGAATTATAGTAGATTATTATATCTTGTAAAATTATAGATTATATTGCTGACAAAATTATATAGCTGGCAAAATTATAACAAATTATATAGCTAGTAAAATTATAGCAGATTATACAGCTATTAGCTAGCGAATTTATAGCAGACTATATAACCGATAAAATTATAGCAGTTTATATAGCTAGCAAAATTATAGCAGATTAAATCTGCAATAATTCTGTCAGCTATACAATCTGTTATAATTTTGTAAGTTATTTAATCTGCTTCAATCCTATGATAAAGTATTAACAGGTTATATAAGTGACAAAATCATCGTTACCTGCTATCAGTAGCACCTGTAAAGCGACCCGATATAAAAAGGTAAGATTAGGGAGAGGTAAGAGTACTTCAAGGAGGATAATAAGTAGGGATACAGAAGGCGATTATCTCCCTTTGGTGGAGATTGGTCACATGAGGCCGCTTAGTGACATCATTCCATACAGTGACGAGAGTGGCCAGTTGTTCAGATTGTTTTACAGCAGCCAAATCAAGAAACTGCGTTCTTTAGCCCGGGTTCCACCCACAGTACGGCCCGGCGCGACCCGCCCGGCCCAACCAGATGCTAAATCTGTCTCTCCAGCAACTTACAGGCATATGGTTCCGTTTCTTTTTGGGAATATAACTTCGCCAGATATAGAAAGAAAATCCGGCTTGTAGTACTCAATTTGGCTAAACCCAAGACTCGTCGTTTCCCCTTCGTGAGACACAGTAGATGGACTCGGCCCGTTTGAATGTGGAGTCATAAACATGACTTCTCCAGAAACAGAAGAATCTCCATATTATAGGTAGGACACTTCCTTTTTGTTTCTTCTTACACTTTTCTTTGTTGTGTAAATATATGTGATATATTATTCTCTGCGTGGGACAGGTGTATATATATGTATATATGTTTTTCTGTATGTCTTATTAGTATACAATTTTTATGCTCATGAAATCACCTCATTCAGTAAACCTCTATATGGAATGACTCTTAGGCCTTGTATTAGGTGAACAAATAGTAAAAAAAAACAAAAAGACAAAAGTGAGCCGCCGGATACGACTGGGGTGAACATTGATAAAATAAATATTATCATTGGAACTTTTACAGCTTTTTCTGTAGTTGTTAATCAAATATATTGAGAAAAAATGGCGCCTTGACTGATTTGTACTAAGATGAGCAAAGATGAAAAATACAAACCGCTGAGTCGTAAATTTCTTGAAAGTCGTTGTAGAAAAAAAAATGAAGATGTAATATCATACACGGAAACCGAAGAACGACTTAACATTTTACAAAATAGCATTTTTGACGTTTATGTGACAGTAAATGGACAATTGCCTGATCAACTCTTTGTCATGGACTGCATGCAACATCTTTTTTCCCGCCATTTACATTCCGCTCTCTCTCTTCTCTCTCTCTCTTTTCGTCAGTCCCGCGTAAATTTGCTGGGGTTGTCTCATTAAAGACACAAGACAAAATCTAACACTATCCTAACCTAATAACATAAAAGACACACTGACTGAAAAAAAAAACAAAAAAAAAAACACATTACTGATTTTCGATGCACAAAAGAAAGAAAAAAAGAATACTGATATTTGAATAAAAAAATTTGAAAGTAATTATTGTCAAAATTCGGTATTTAATAACCATATTGTCTCGTATTTTTTCGAAATATTTGCTTTCTAAGTGTAGCAATAACGTAAGTTAAATATATGCGAAAGATTATTCTAAGGGAAAGCCAATTATCAGCAATAATTTGCTTGTGACACTTTTTAAAAAATCATTTCACCCCAAGTAAAGCATTAAAGCCACTAAGACGTACACTTTTACTGGGTGTTAGGAATATGAGAAAAGCAATCACTATTAACGAGAGAGAGGACAATATAAGAACAAGAATTAAAAAGACAGAAGATAACAATTGACATTGCATTTAAATTTTTGAAGATTAAAGTTGACTGGAAAGCAAGAAGCTGGAAGAGAATCCCACAAGCGAGAAGTGCGATAGAAGAAACTGCTAGCATAGAACTTGCGGTTACATCTAGTTATTTCAGCTGTAAAAGGATGAAACCTTGCCGCCAGTCTAGTACTGCCCTTAAATTAATAAAGTCTAGGTACCAAAGATGAAAGTTCATCAGAACAACTACCATGGTGGAAAAGGCACAAGGAATTTATGTTACGGTGGTGGGAAAGGGAGTCAAGCCGAGATGCCAGGTCAGGACAAATAACATTGCAGATAACTTTCCTTCATTTCTGAGCATCGATAATACCCTTTCCTAAGCATTTCTATAAAAATATAGAATCATAAAGTTGTTAATAATGATTTAAAATTGTATTAATAACCCAATAATGGTTAATTATGTCCTGACCAATGAAAATCCGGATTTTTTAATTAATTTTTATAGTAATCATTTAATCTATTTACTTAATATATAATTGAACTATTTCATAAGAAATACTTGTCTCAGCCCCTGACCACCGACAATGTCTTTCTTATTTTTTATTTATTTTTATAGCAAAATAATTTTATTTAATTTATATTATAAATACAGAAGACCGATTTTGTCTATAATAATTCCTTATAAGCAATATATTTACATTATCCATATAATATCCCTATTCTTTTAGCAACGCTTGCCTTCATTCCTGGCCATTGGAAATCCATTTTTCCTAATTTTCAATGGATTCCTATAGTAACTTCATTAGCAATATATTTTGGTTATAAATATAATAAATCTATTCTGTCATTAATATTTGCCTTTAGTCCAAAACACGGACAATCTTTTTTTCTCATTTACAATGTATTGGTTTAGTAACTACCACCCTATTTTGTCAGGTGAACTTGTATTAATTCTCTAACATTGACAATCCATTTCCTCCTGAATTTCAGTCGACAGCAATGTAAAGCGAAAATTTATGAAGCATTTTTAAAGTAAAAACTGGTAAAATTCAGCATTTCCGAAATGTTTTTGCGCGTAAGTAAATTCAACGAACCCGACTTAAATTCGAACTCGGCTCTCCGATTTCTCCTTCCGAGCCACTATCTTTAACACACCACCTGCACATCTGACACAGTGAGAAAGAAAGGGGAAGCGATAAAGAAAGGGAGAGTGATAAAGAAAGGGGGGCAAGGGAGAAAGGAAGAGCTAAAAAGTAAGGCAGAGCGAGAAAGTAAGGGAGAGCGACAAAGAAAAGGGGCGAGGAAGTAAGAAAGAACGAGAAAGAAAGGAAGAGCGATAAAGAAAGGGAACAAGGAAGAAAGGGAGAGTATGAAAGAAAGGGAGAGAGAGAACGTAGGGGAGAAGGTGAAAGAAAGGGAGGCGAGAAAGTAAGGGAACGAGGAAGAAAGGGAGAGTGAGAAAGTAAGGGAGAACGAGAAAGAAAGGGAGGCGTGAAAATAATGGAGAACGGGAAAGAAAGAGAGATCAAGAAAGTAAGGGAGGGCGAGAAAGAAAGGGAGAGAGAGAAAGTAAGGGAGAACGTGAAAGAAAGGGAGAGCGAGAAAGAAAGGCATAGCGAAAATGAGAGAGAGCGAGATCGCGCGTGTGTGTAAGAGAGATTGAGTGAATCAGAGAGAGAGAGAGATCGCGTGTGCGCATGTGTGTAAGAGAGATTGAGTGAATCAGAGAGAGAAAGAGATCGTGTGCGCAAGAGAGATTCAGTGAATCAGAGAGAGAGAGAGAGAGAGAGAGAGAAAAAGAGAGAGAGAGAGAGAGAGAGAGAGAAAGAGAGCGAGAGATAATAGAAAGTTTTTGCCCGTCTTGTCGGTCTTATAATCATAACTGGAAGCAAAAAAGCCAAAATGGAGACTATACGGACGGAAGTGAGGAGTGTCGCCCAAATGTGGATGAAGTGATGTTGATGCATGATAGGAAACTACAAAATAGCAGGGGGGGGGTTACTGTGGCTCTCTGTTTATTCAAAATGGGAATATGAATATAAATAAATCTAGACAAATGTCCGAACGCATGCACACACTTGCCCACCCCCAAGAAATATGCGTGAAGTCGTATTAAATATTCACGCATGCGCAAAGACATGTATAAATATGCGCTTACCTCGTCTCGTATAATAATATGACAAAGTCATTCCTCTCCTAAACAAATAAAAAAAACATATGAACGAGATATGTTTGTGCCATTTGGCAAATACGTCAATATAAACCAAATGTATATACTCACATATCAATTCTTATATAAAAGCGCTTATACATTTAAACACAAAAATATGTTTCCGATTCAGTCACTTTCCACCGCCGTAAATTTGCCTCCCTGTGCCTTTTCTATAAATACATTCATGGCAATTGTTCGGATGACCTATGATGTCTAGTCTCTTTGAATTTAAGCTCAATACTAGACTGGCAACGAGGTCTCTTCAATTTTCAGTTGAGCTGGCTAGATGTAACCGTAAGTTCTATGTTAACAGTTTCTTTTCTCGCACCTCACTTTTGTGGAACTCCCTTTCGACTTCATGCTTTCCAGCCAACTTTAATCTGCAAAATTTTAAATGCAATGTCAATCGCTATCTACTATCATTCTGATTACTCTTCTTTTGTTGTCGCTAATTAGTAATGTTTCTATTTCTAACTCTTCCACATCCAGTAAAACCTTGTGTCTTAGATGCTTCATTGCCTTGCTTGGGCTGAACTTGATTAAAAAATGTATTAAATGAAACACACAGATAAGTGTTTAACTAATTCATTTAATGAGATACTCCATTGGTATGGTAGCTGGAAGCGTTATTTGATATCAGTACATGAATATACTTCGTTAAAAAAGAGACGAATAATCTCATTAATAAGTAGGATAGACCAGACTGCTAATACATTGCGTTTAAAAAATTTTTGTTTCAGATCATCCTTCTTTGGATATTTTTTACTTTCAATGATTTCAAAAGCATAGAGATAATTTTATAGATAAAAATTCTTGATTATTTATACGGAATTTATAAACAAACGAAGGCATGGAGAAGTTCTTTGTCGAAACGTCGTCTAACTGGGCCGGTCCATTCATCACATACAATAGTCGCCGGTGTGGTTGACAAATTTATCAAATACAGAAAACTGGAGAAAATTGATAACAATTCTCAACTAGCAATATGAATACAAATCATATTTAGATTAAAATTAAAAAAAAATCCTCAAATCCTATATACGTGAGTTGTATGGGGGGGTATATTGTCAGTGGTAGTACCTTTGCAGCGAAGCAGTTGATCCTGCTTTACTCAGGTAAATTGCGATGTGGACTACATCCAACAGGCATACAGAGCTACAAGAAGTTGCATGAGCACTGCAATGGCCCCACCGCTGCCAACGGCATCGAACTGCCGGCTAATCTCTGTGACGGTAGTCGGACGGGTGTTATTATGCAACCCACCTGTACAAAGCGGCCATCGAGCATTCGCCAGCCTGGGCGGAGGAGCTGCGACTCAGGGGTCAACAGTTTTACCAGTGGGCGGAAGAAATTGGGAGCGGAGGGACGGGTGAAACGCAACGTTCCTGGTCCAAAAGGAACTATTGTATTATTTTGCCTTGAATGTCACCATGAACCGGGTAGGGGGGGGGATCTGACCACAATGGCTATAAATATGCTAACTGAATAAATAATGATGGTATACAACATAAGAATAAAAAATGAAATACAATACTGGAATTAAGCGGGTGGGAAGATAAGAGCGACGGGCGATCGTACTGGAGTCTAATCAACCCAAAGCCGCCGAACAAGCATAGAACCTTATCAGGGAAGAATGGTTTCAAGACATGACTCCACCTCGCTCACTCTCTTTCTTTCTCTCTTTAGTGCCTTCACCAAGTACCGTTTTAGTTAGGCGGTCATTTATTTAAATGACTTTGATTGGGCAGCGATTATATGTTGTTTTTCGTATGGACAATGAAATACTTCCCAGTGAATTACTCGTAAAAAATATATAAAAAAATTAATGACTTAAAAATCAGTAAAAAAAAAAAATATCATCAGGAGTAATGATAATGTTCAAATGAAACCCTCCAATTTGGCGTCACTCATGACCTTAAAGAACCCTCTATTATCAAAACGTTTACCAAATAATTCTTTTAACTTTGAGACAGGATGATTTCTCGTAACACTTGTCAAGCTGAACAGCTTGTCAACACACCTGAACTAAACATCTTCCAAATCGCCTTATGTTTGTACTCGATTAATATGCTCATATGATCTTCAACATTCAACTTTTCTTTCATAAAAATATGTTTTCCACCTGAAACAAATTTTTCATCATATATATATATATAAACAGATTTTTGTTCCCACATCAAGAGGAAATTATCTTTAGAAAAGGGATTATAATTTTTAAATAAAACAGGATACAAAAGTATCACAGCGATTATAATTTCAGGTACGTTTCGGCCGGCACTTCAGAATAAACAAGTTGACAAGAAAAATTATTATCAACGGCGGATGTTAAAAAATATAAATTACGCAAGACTAGGGTAAGAAAAAAAATATCTTCCTAGTTAGGCATAGAATTAACGACTGGCTTCCTGCATGCTTTAACTCTCTTTGTCTGCACAAAGCTGAACGTTGCATATTAATAACAGACTCAAGATGTCTAAATGGAAATTGGTCCGTGCCCTGTCCAATACATAAAAAAACATAGGGAAATATATATATATATATATATATATATATATATATATATATATATATATATACGAGTTTGTCGTTACTTGGAAAAAATTTTCATGCAGCAAGGGCGGACTATCATTGTTGTTTCATCCGTGTGTTGTTTGATTTATTGAAATTGTCATCTTTGATAATGGCTTATGTAAGCCGAAAGATTAGACTGGATTTAAACATGTATAAATATGATGTTATCCTTTCGTCTTTCAACGGTAATGTGATTAAGCTTATCAGACAATATGAAAGGAACTTACTTAAAATAGACAAAACTTGTCTATATTATTTAATGAAATATGCATTAATGAAAGATTGCTGCCTAAATATACATAATTTAAATATATATATATATATATATATATATATATATATATATATATCGTACAAATTGCATTAAGATACCATTAGTTAAAGATCATTTTCACCTGCGAATTTTAAATTTTAAATTTGTAGTTTTTTTTTTTTGCAAACTGTTTATCGTGTCAGTTTGTAGAAGGGGACTGATTAGTAGATAAAAGAAAGGGAGAGAGAACGTCAGAGGGACCAGAGAGGAGGAAATGACAGAAGATAGCATAGTTACAGGAAGTAATGTGGGGTATGATGGAGCTAGGAGTGGGTGGAAAGAGAGATGAGGAACCCGATGAACTCAATTACATCTTAATGCTCAGACGACTAAAGTTTGAAAAATCCTGCGAATTTTAAATTTTAAATTCTCGGATGAAAATGATCATCAACTAATACTATCTTAATTCCAATTTTACAAAAATATTTGCTCTGTTTAATGAAAATAAACCATTGAGCACTCTTTGAGAGTCACTATTTCATATTTAATATTTACTATTTAAAATTCTCTATGGTGTTAATAGGACTTATACCAACTAATTACTACCTGTATATATACTCGACTCTCCCCATCGAATTCGACGTATGAGGGTCAAGCAGATCTGTTCCTAGGAAACCGACAGCCCGACAACAACACATGAGGTTTGATTATAGTGGTGAAGGTTTCGTGCAGAACCATCCACACTTTTTTAAGGGTCTAATACAGAGACCTGGTGCACTAAGTGCCACAAGGTCCCCAAACGACCCTCCGCAGGTTTTGAATTCAGAGTTGTCCTTCTCCTAGACAAGTTGCCATCCAAGGCTATAGAACCCAGCCTGTCCTGCTATTTACCCATAGCTGGAGGGAGAAGAAGAGGATTCATACCTTTTCCCAAGGGTATTAGCACATAAGTGAATGTAATGGATTCGACTGGAATTGAACTCGGCCTCCGATTCCTCAATTCTTGTTGCTATCCATCCATATATATATATATATATATATATATATATATATATATATATATATATATATATATTAATCAATTTTATTTATTTTAATTTTAAAATTCGCAGATGAAAATGATCATTAACTAATGGTATCTAAATTCCAGTTGTACGAAAAGTTTTGCTCTTTTTAATAAAAATAAACATTGACCGCTCTTTGTGAGTCAGTTTCAACATTTAATATTTAATAATTAAAATTCTATATTGTGTTAATAGGACTCGCTTGGATTATACCAACGTATTACTACCTGTATATGCACACACACACACACACACACACACACACATATTAATGGTAAAATGAAATAAAATTATGTAGCGTTTCGTCCTTTGGACTCCATCGGATTAAAGCAATTTTATTGATGGAATATATATATATATATATATATATATATATATATATATATATATATATATATATATATATATAAACAATATAATTGTAAAATTGCATCAATATTGAAGTAAGCTTTAGAGATACAGGTTCGTGCTAATTTTTTGATATTTTTTTAAAACTTTTAATGATTTAAAAAACGTAATTCTTTCTTACATGTGACAATAAAGTTAATGGCATAGAGATGAAAATTCAATGTTACTCAGACAGAAAATATAACCAGAGCAATTGTCAAATTATTAAAACACAGTCGTCACGTTTCAGTGTTAAAAGAGTGTCGACTGCCAAAGATTTTACTGTTCAGTGAATTGTCTATGGATTAGCGAGACAAACTCGTCACCGACGAGGTATAAAATCTCGCGTGACATCGACTGCATAGTTACTAACAGCATGAACAGAAGCTGGTAAGAAGAGAACATGGTGTCAGACTGTCTTTCGGGCGGTTTATCTTTTTGATGGAAAATAGAGAAATAGTTTTGAGCAGTAGTGACAGAGTCGTAAAATATGGCTTTCAAGAAAAATTCTTCATCACACTTCTTAAACTCTGCCCTAGAGGCTCTGTAGCAAGAAAAAAAATGTTTGGCCTCACCAGCTATCAGCTAGTCTGCACTTGTTAAGGGAATACTTTCTTGCATTTTCTATAGCTATGCTAAACAAGACTCAGGTTGAAATGAATACGAAGCCCTGTTCGAAAATGTCTAAGTGTTATGGAGTGGTTTCACAGTGGAGGCTTGTATTTGTACTAAGTCGGTCCTAAAATAGGTTCGACGTACTTGATATAATAGGTAATAACGCAGAGTAATCTAGTTGTGGTCGCTGATACTTTAGTATCCGACTAACGGTCGTCCGACATCGACTGAGTGACCAACTCACTGAGAGACTCCCTCGTTACTCTTACTACTCCTACTTATTATAGGTGGGAGAGTCTATTACCTATAGAATAGGTGTGTTCCACTATAAAACTAAGCGAATTGATATTAAAAAAATAAAAATAAAATGCTTGTGGAGAGTAATAGAGTATTTGCTCTCTTCAATGACCTTTCACTTCGAAATAGTGCTGTTTAGGGATTGCTATCATTTGCCTCATTCCGTTTTTCTTTCCCTTTTTAACGACGATTTTAGCTCTAGGGAAAAGCCAGGTTCAGGGAGCCAGTTCTCGGCCATGGATAATTATCAGTCTCCTATTTCTTTTATTGCTGACAAGATTAACCTGGCCATTGGTCTCGTAAAAGACGTCAAATCTGTGGTTTACTGGGGCAGGAAATGGCTTGTAAACTTTAATGCTTCCAAAACGAAACTGTCCTCATTTACCCACCAGAAAGAAACCTCCCTGTCTCCTATCAGAATGGCTAATGCTCAACTTCACGAGAGTGTCTCTTTCCGCCTGCTTGTCCTCACGTTTTCCGCTAACCTGATGCGGAACAACTACATTGAATCAATAGCTTTATCTACCGCAAGGAAAGTTGATTCTCTGTGTCGTGTCAGAAAGTTTTCTCGTCTAGGTCCATCCTTCAAATCTACAAATCTAAAAATTTACCATTCGTCCATGCATTGAATAATATTACCATATATGGTTTGGTAACCCGCTGTTCATCTCGAGGTCCTCGACAAAAACCAGAGAAGGATATGCAATGGGATAGATCCTGATCTGGCAACTCGCCTACAGACACTTTCTCATAGACGTGCCGTGGCTTCCCTCTGTCTTTTCTACAAGTATTTCCATGGCAACTGCTCTGTCGAGCTATTTTCACTGGTACCCCAACTGCATGAATTTAAGCGTGCTACTAGATCTCGGCTCTACACTTTCACTGTCGAAACGGTTAAATGTAACCGTCTCTTCTACTTCAACAGCTTCTTATCTCGCACTTCCCGTCAGTGGAACTCCCTTCCTCTTACTTGTTTCCCTGATAGCTATAATCTCCAAATATTCAAATGTAATGTCAATCGACATCTCTTGTTTCTCAGATAGCTATAATGTTCAAATATTCACATGTAATGTCAATCGACATCTTCTGTTGCCTTGATCCTGATCGCCGTTCTTCTCTTTATCCTATCCTATCCTCAAAAATCTCTTTACTCTTGCTCTCACACTCTGTAACCCCCTTTGCGTGTTAGTGGAACTCCCGTCTTTGCTTGGGGTGAAATGCTAAAAAAAAGTGCATTCCGCAGATTTTTGGCATTTTCGCATGTTCTTCTTTAGTAGGACACTTTCAACGGATTTTCTGTCAACTTTAAAGCTTCAATACTAAAGTTTTTTTGTTTTTTTTTATACTGCGCTTCGTTTATCGAATAGTTCCTGAAAATATTTCAGTAGTTTTCGCAGAAATCCTTGACGGATGAAGAGGAAAACTGTAGACAGAAGAATTACGATTCTACAGAAAGCTACTGAATAATTCCATGGGCGGAGCTGGTAAGCAACAAAGAAAACTTAAAGAAAATGGCAACAGTAAGAACACTTATACTCAGAATCAGGGGGAACCTCGAGACGGTATAATGGTAAGCAAGCTTGTCTCGCTAGAACATTTACGACAGAGTAGTGAGTTCAATCCTCACTGGGTGCCCAATACTTTCAGCATTGTGTCACATCCAAGCTACGCTTGGAAAATCACGATACTCAGAATCTTGAAACGACGACAGAAATTCCTTCGACAGATAATGAGGGAGGTGGGATACGGAAACTTAACCCTCACGGGGCATAATTGATGGCAACAGAGATAAGGAAAGGCAGAGACGAACCTCTGTGAATGGGGTGGCAGAATGGAAGTTTTAGCAATAGGAGAAAAGGGCCACAAAGGATAGGATGTTGTGGAGAGCCATGAAATTCTATGTCCTGTAGGGATGCGGCACATAAAAGTTGAAAAATAATGTTCAATGGTGTTTCTCTGTCAGATGGGTAATTCAAGAGGATAGAGTTTATACACGCATGCGCAGAAGGATTCCCGCTGATTACTTCTCAGCATATGTAAATACTGCAGAGCCGATTTTCAAATCAGACTTCAACCGAAATTTGAACATTACTCGTCGTTTTCATTTTCGGCATCGTGAATCACTTAAAAAAAATAATTTCAACACGAATATGGCAATAAAGCCACTAAGACGCAATGGGCTTACTGAGAGTGAAGGAATATAAGAAAAAGAAAAAAGTTATTAAATAACGAGAACAACAAAAGAACAGCAACTAAGAAGACAGAAGATAAAACTAACTGAAACCGAGATGTCAGGTCAGGACTGATAACATTGCAGATTTTTCTTTTGAATTTTATCAATGATCTTTAATACATTTTGTTCGTAGATATATTGCATCTAAATGCATTTGTGTTCTACGAGTATTGGAATGCAGGAAGCAATGAGTTATGTTTGCTTAAAAGAAACAGTTGATGCAACGACCTGTTTTCAATGCTGACCTACGGATTGGCTCGTAGTGTCGGGCAGAGGTGATGGGACCAGGTTTTCCTTTAAGATTTAGTAAGCAGATTGGTTGCTTTGTTCGTGCGAGGCAAATGCGGTTGCATTTGGTCAATGGTCGAGGATGTAGTTCGCATGTCGACAGCCATTTGCAACGCGTATAAAAGGTCATGAGTATCCTTGGTTCATTGGCTGAGATGGTCACGTGCATTCGATGAGCGATTTAATATCTACAACCTGTATCGAATGGCAGAATGGGGGAAAAAATTCTATGTAAAGCATTTCAAAAAGACTTCGTTAGACATTTTGTTTTTTGGTTTTGGGTAAATGGGAACTTGAGACACTTGACGTCTAGACACATTTCAAATTTAAATTTACAGTAGAGCGTTTCTACATCGTCATCCTTTCCTCTCGATAGATAATTTTAACTGAGGTTTTTGTTTACATTTCCGCCCACTTTCCTCTCTCCCTCAATATATACATAATTCCAACAAGACGATCATTATTTTAGCCTGATGATATCCGTTTGGAGAACAAAACGCGTTACATAGAATTTTTTCTGTCATTCAATTACCCACGATATGTCTGAAAGTTTATGTATCATATTGCTCCCATCTCTCTCGCTTGGACGGGTTTAGATGGGTTTTTATTTTGGCTGGGCCTACGGGCTCAGACATACCCACATTAAAAAGGCCTTGTGCCACATTCGGTCCCTGGGTGGATTGATAAATACCATCTCTCTCTTTTTATATATATATATATATATATATATATATATATATATATATATATATATAATGTAGCATGTTGAACGGCGTGACTGTGTTGTACTAGTGAAACCAATGCATATGTTGTTTGAATTGTTATTACAGGAACGTTCTCCAATCGGTCATTTGAAATCATTGACAACGTTAAATTTTTGGAGTCTTAGTTGGTGATCATGTGTAAACTCTTTTCATATATGTTTACAATCTCACTCCCCGCCCCGCTCCCCAACTAGTAATAATAGACCCACCTAACGCTTTTACATCGATCAAAATTTTAAATTCAAGTTTATTTTCATAAAAAGCTTCGCACATCGAGGAATCAAACAAAGATCGGGTTTTTGCTAATAATATGATTTTCACCAGAAAATACACCATCTACAAAAACATCTGTCAGTGAGTAATTCCCATTTCTCTGTTTATTTCTCGGTCCGTTGATGAAGGACACAGGCGTGTCTGAAAATTCCGAACTTAAAACCGTGCTTCATTTCTGTCATATGGTTAATAATTAATATTTGATAAATGTTTATCGTACTGATTATATTGGTACTCTTTCGTTTGTCCTTGTTTTATTAACTATCCTATCTATTATATATATATATATATATATATATATACACTACCCCAATTGACCTGAATAAAAACATCAAATTTATTATCTATTATAAAAAATTTAAGACAGCCAACCTTATCCTCAAAAATAACAACACAACAGTTAAGTCAAAATTACAAAGAACAAACATTATCTATGAGTTCAAATGCCTCTTAAGGAACTGTGTTCCTGATCAAACCGGACTCATAAATAATTACATTGGTTACACAACCACATGCTTATCCAGACATCTTACGTTACACCTATCTGATGACAGCTCCATTAGAACCCATTTAAACACACACACAACCATACCAGACTCCTTTAGAGATATACTCGTAGAGAACACAAAGATAATAACTTCACCCACCTGTAAAAAAAAAGATTAAAAATAATGGAAACTTTAATAATAAAAAAGAAAAAGCCACCTCTTAACAATATTAACTACGAACAAGGCCGCAATGTGCTAACCGTATTCGGAAATAAAAAAACATCCCTTTAACACACTAAAACATACACATAAAGCACACACTCAATTATGCTGAAAAATGGAATCATCCTTGATAATGGCTAAAGGTATAGCCGAAAGCGCTCGGAACTATAAAACATTTGGACACTTTTTACACACTCTTTGTCCAGAAAAGAAAGTTCTTGTTCGAACACAAAGAAAAATTAAATAAAAAGCTTAACCGTAGTACCTTTGTCTGTCGTTTTTAATGAAACATGCATAAACGAAGGATTATATATATATATATATATATATATATATATATATATATATATATATATATATATATCAATGTTGCTGAAATATTTCCAGACTGATTCCACTATTCAAAATCAGTATTTAAATGATCAGAGATCAGAATACTGATTTTATGAAGTAGACCAAGAGTCACACTGAAAATCTTTCAGACACACCTCACACGCACACACATAGACTGGCACACACGCACACACATTATTAGTCATAAAATATTTCAGTTGTCACATAAGTCTCACTCTCTATATATATGCATATGTGCGTTTGAGACAACGAGAATTGATAAGTTTGTCTCTTGATATGAACTATTCAAGACAATATTATGGTGCTTGTCAAAGTCCAAATCCCCTGTTTACGTCCGTGACACTCACGTCTATATATATATATATATATATATATATATATATATATATATATATATATATATATATATATATAGCTGGTAGAATTGACAAGCAACTTAAGAGAATACATAAGGTTAATGAAAGGTATAAATTGAGCGGAAATATCTATTTACACAGAAGATACCCATGCCGATAAGAGTAAGAAAGCCGAGACAAGTGACTAGGATTTCTTCTAGAAAGTGATCCCACTGTACACTATCTATCAGGCAGACAAGATATAAATGGCAATATATAATCGAAGGACAAAATCGATTTAAAGAAAGCGGTTTTAATTGAAAGAAAAAAGTCATTTATGGAGTGGAAAATGCATCGAAAGTCATCTGCTTCAGTCTTCACTTTCCAGCCTTGATAGAATCGAAAATAATTTCCGCGTCCTTGTGAGTGATGAATTATTTTTCACCCTACAACCCCTTTTCCCACAGGCAAAACATCGCAAGCCTCTCGCGGTTTTATCGCTATTTCCTCGGAAAGTTTTCCGCCAGTTCTAACATTTTTAAAATAAACGCGTGGGTGATTCTATGTCATATGAAGCAAACGTGCAACTGCAAAAAATCCTTGGGATTATGAATGTCATAAGTTTGTTGAAAGGCTTATTTAACAAAACGTAAAAATTCAGTGAAATTTCAAGATACCCTGAATTTAAGACTCTTAAAAATACAGATCTAATATTTGGGAGTTATCAATAAATTTGACCAAGAAAATCTTGCAAATTTCCACATCTTATTCTGAGAGGTTCACATGTGGCCATTAGTTGATTTGAGATGGAATGACCTATATATATATATATATATATATATATATATATATATATATATATATATATATATATATATAATAATATTTTTTGTTTAAAAATATAATTCCTTCGCTACATAAGAGTTCTCATGTTTCAAAAACGAGAGCCGAAACCATCCAAATAATTATTAAAATTAAGTTGAATTGAGGTGCTTAGTCCCGTTTCATCTTCAAGCGAAATTTTAGGAATCTAAAATTAGGATAAATAAATTTAGGATTCCTAAAATTTCGCTTGAAGATGCGATCTAATAATTTTTTCTTTTCAGATGATGAATTATATAAAAACTGTCCGAATGTTCTTTTTATCCGAGCGCTTTCGGCTATACATTTAGCCATTTTCAAGGATTAAATATTTTAACTGTTAAAGAAGAAATACTTTGTTGCATGTATGTTTTATAAAATATTTTCATTTTTAAAAAGACGGTCAAGATATTGTGTCCATGTTCATAGTTAATATTATTAAGTGCTGTTTTTTTGTTTTTATTAATAAGGCTTCCATTATTTTTAGCCTTTTTTGTATGTAGATGATGCTATTATATTAGTGTTGTCAACAAGTATGTTACGAATAGTCTCCGGTAGGGGATCCATATATATATATATATATATATATATATATATATATATATATATATATAAAAAAACAGACCACGTTAAGAATACTCCTCTGGTCTACCCATACGGATTACCTAAGTTTGCATAGACTATATATATATATATATATATATATATATATATATATATATATATATATCAAATATGTGGTGTAGTTCAATTTATACTACAATGAATCCTTTATACCTAAAGTAGATTAGTAAAGTTAATGATATAAAACAGTGAAATCTCTTCGCTAACAAAATTTTAAAGGTGCATTCACCTACTAATCTCTTGATGGATGTCATGATCCTTGTTTTTTTTTTTAATTATAAGCTCTATTATGTTTTTCTTAAATACACAAGTACTTTCGACTGTACATTCAGTCATCTTCAGGCATGGAAATTATTTTATTTTTGGTAAAATCCAAATTGTTTGATTTTGGTAAATATATCTGTTAAAATAAGATTTATTTTCACTTTTGCGTAATTTAGACGACCATTTATCCATCGCAACCTGTCTAGTCGATAAGTGAGGAACAATTTCAAGGATTGAACTTCCGACTCGGAATTAAGTCTAGTTTCGAGGCGGAAGATAAATTTATTAACAGACATCATTTCAAGTTTTAAAATACGCTGTATAAATGACGTTAATTTTGAAACTCAGTTTTAATTTTGCTCACTCTTAAAGAGGTTATTACGTGATATCAACTCATCTGAAATTGTTCTGTTATTGATTTATTCATCTTGTCACTGTGAAATGTACAGCAGCCCCCCAGGTGCGCACCAACACACACACACACACATATACGGGCGTGCGCGGGCACACACACACTGACATAGACAACATCGAATTGATAAAAGTAATATGTTTAGAATCCGATGAAACTTGTCAGCATGCGTCAACGTTCATTTTACGCAGGACACAAGGATAAAAGCTGACCCTGAAGCGCATTGTCCTAGAACGAATAGAAGTCAAATGTCGTCCTGACAGTCAACAGTTCAAACGCGTGTGGTCTTGCATTATGTTTTCTGCTCGGCTGCCACAATAAGAATTAGAAATCCTCACCCCCTCGGCCCAGGAGGGGAGTGAACATGTTGAAACCCAGTTTCATTATATTTCTATAAGTTATTTTTATAAAAAAATTCAAGTAAACAAATATAGTAAATAACTTGAACTGCTTGTAGTTTATTGAATTTTAAACATTTACATTATCGTAATATTCAAATGTTTGATTACAGTATTGAGCAAACGTAATGATTTTTTATTTGTATTCTCATATTTATCTTTACATTATTATTA